AAAACGTCCATATCTTGAGAATTTTGTGCAAAGTATTGCTTTTCCAAAAACTGTCACAACAGGTCAATTGGTTCCTCTGGCTCGAATTATGCAATGGATTGTGTCAAGGATAATTCGCCCCAAAAATGGTGGGTTGTACCGTATTGATCAACCTGGGGTTATGTTAATTTGGGCCATTCTAAACAAAACTAATATAAATTGGCCGTATTACATCACTAGCCGGTTATTTGCATTGAGGGATTCCCCTAGAGGATCTGCCTTGGGGTATCTATCATTCATTCATGGAATTCTCAGTCAAGCAAACCTTGATCTTACTGGTATTTCACCTACACCTATTCTGCCGGATTCAGATTTTACCTCCAAAACTCTCGCACTTATGGGTCATCAATGGAATCCCCATATTGGTAAGTACAAGTACTTTGTGAAGTCTAACTCGGTAATGGTTCAAAATGAAGATGTTGAACAGGATGAGGAAATGGAAGATGTTGAGGGTGATGAAGTTGGTACTGAGAATCTAGAAAGTGCTGAAGAGGAGGAAGAAACCGATGACGGTAATGATGACCATGAGCCTCATAGATCCTATGACGAAGTGATGCGCAAACTTGAGGAAATGCACATCCACCATCATGAAGACATGGTATTAGAAACTGAACGAATTAACAATCTTGCTGGAATAGTCAACCTTAAAAACACTCAGTTCAATAATTATGCTAGCCTCCAAGACCGCCGATATAACACTCTTCATGAAATGATGGAAACACAAAACTCATACCTGGCAAACTTTCAGTCGGATTTCATGGCTCGCTTTCCACCAAACCAACCACAAGACAATGAGGAACAACAACATTAGTCAATGCTTGGAACTTTATTTCTTGCTTAATATGCTTATGTTATCATGGTTTTGTATTAAATTGTTTTACTCTGGTACTACTTTGTGTTTTATTTTGGGTTTGTAACAATGAACATCATATTGTTTTACTTTATTGGTTATTGCTTCTATTTTTGTTTGCACTTGCTTCATATTGTGTGTATGTTAGTTTGTGTTCTTTTTGCAAAGTTTCAAAATGTTGGTCACTCTATGTTTTTGGTTCTCTTAATCCATGTCCTTGTTTCTTTTTGATGTTGTCAAATGGGGAGAAGGAAAGGAATACAACCACAACAAAAATATGCAATATCTCAAGGGGAGGATAATTAGATGATTTACAAGACGATTCATATTTGAGGTTTTTTGCCATCATCAAAAAGGGGGAGTATGTGAGGGCAAAAGTGAAAGAACTGAGTTTTAATGATTGTCAAAAACCTATCTGTACAAATATGTCTTGCTTAAAATAGGTGCAAGTGAGAAACATCAAAGACAAGCATTTATCTCAAAACATACTGCATGAGCCGGCTCATGGAACCTTAGGTCGGCTCATGAGAAGAAGATTTTGGCTTGGAAACGTCCGAGAAGGCGCACGCCTCCTCTATACGTCGATGCATGGTTCTGGGAGAACATGAGTCGGTGCATCAGGGAATGAGTCGGCGCATGATTGAAGGAATTTCAACCTCTCTCGCTCGGGAAGGCGCACGCCTTCTTTATTCATTGACGCATAGTTCTGGGAAAACATGAGTCAGCGCATCAAACAATGAGTCAGCGCATAACTGAAGGAATTTCAACCTCTCTCGCTCGGGAAGGCGCGCGCCTTCATATATCCTGCATGAGTCGACGCATCGCTAAATTGTCTCATTTTTCTGCTATGTTGTTACATCATGGGAATGACTTATAAATATTATTTTGGCCTCTATTTTACAGAACAACAAGAAAAGGTGAAAGATATACACAAGAGTTCTCTTCATCTTCAATCTCTCATCAATTATCAACAACTACACACAATCATTTTTGTTGATCAAGTTCTTGGGATTGTGTTGATAACGTCCAAATTGAAAGTGCAATTTCAGATTTGGGTATAGATCTTTGTGGGTTTTTTCTTGAATAAAACCATTGGGGTTTTGTCCTCCAAAATTGGGGGTTTTAATCACAAATCTTTGCTTCATTGAATTCAGCCGAGCTAAGGGATTGGAAGACCGTGGAGTGTTCAATCGGGTAGCGGTAACCGGAGGATTGTGAAGAAGGATTTGGGGCCAATTTTCTTGAGTATAAAATCATTCAAGGTAGAAGGAGTTTTTGTTCAAGATTTGGCATACTTGATTCATCTGGAATCAAGGAAAGAGGAATGCAACATATAAGATTCATCAAGTGACTTTGAATTGTGGTGATTGTATCTTCTCTTATAAACTTTGCAAAATTATTTCATATCCTAATTCTAGATTCTAGAATTGGGGGTAGAGTAGCCCACGCGAGGATGACACGGTGAACTGCCTTAACAAATACCGTGTCCATTTTAGTTTTCTGCATTTGATTTCTATTTGCTTAAATTTGTGAGTTATCAATTTTCTCATTCATACAAAATAATTATAGTGATAAACTAAAATTTAAAACTCATATAGCATTCATTCGAATCGCTATAATCACTATAATTTGAGTATAACCAAACCTTGTGTAGTACGTACACCAAGTGTTTGGTGAACTTACAACTCACAAATTTGCTTTATCTTCTCCACAACTAATTGGTAATAACTTACACCTTGTTAAACTTGCTAAAGCGATTTATCATATTCATTTTTAATTGTGATTCTATTCTCATCATTTTCATCAAATTGGTTCGCATATCTGATCTTTCCAATACGTAAAGTTTAGACGATCAGATTCAGGATTGTTGCTCTCTGATAAAAACAATTTTACAAAACGCGCAAAATTTTAAAGGGATCTATTCACCCCCTCTTCTAGATCCATCACATCGTCTAACAACAACCAGTAGTGACGAGGTACATTGACTATGGTGAAGGTCTTTGTGCTTGTTGTTATGTTGTATGCATAATATGTCGCATGTATTCATAGTGTTGGACATAGGTCCATATTTGGAGAGCCTCAATCCCATTGTGTGGATTGGCCACGAGTAGCTAATTTCTATGGCGATGGATTAGTGAAGCGTTACAATTGGTAATTATTTTGGACGGAGGTCCATTTGGAGAGTTTTGATCCTAGGTGGTGATCGAAGCGGTGAACCTGAGAGTTCACATATTGGTACCACATGCATTGAGTATATGTCGTTGAGTCTCATTGCATTACATTGGTGTGTTGTTGTTGTTTTGTAGGTGTTGAATATGTTGTTGGAATGTATGTTATGCTTGTAATAATTTGTTGCTCACTTGTTATTATGCATTCCATTATATAATTATGATATCTCACTCTTACTATTTGAATGTTGTCTCTCTACGTGGATAACATGCAGATACTCAGGAGTAATTCAGAGTTGAAGTGAGTAGAAGATGGAATCTTCCTTTTATTTTTGTTAGAGTCAGTGTCTACTCCAATGTGTAACACCGAGGAACGTAACATTTATGTTATTTATGTTTGTGAGAGATTATTTAGAATCTCCTAGAATTGTTATAACTATGTGTATTTTCTTTCGAAGCACAATTATGTTTTAAAATTATCAAACTGTTATGTGTTGATTGTTTTCCGCTACTTAAATGAAAAGTTAGAATTTCATACATGTTTTGTTGTTATAATTATTTTTAATAATTTCTGAAATAGTATGTGTTACATATCTGATTGCATGAGCAGGTTTTTGTTGAATTGTAACATCCTAAATATTATGTATTAATATTACTCTAATAATTATTATAAAATACACGGGGATATTTAGAGTGTTACAGTTACCACTTATGACATTCATAGCTTCTTCCAGTGGTAGCTCTGGCCCAAATTTTCTTTAGGTTTGAAGAATTTAACATGCCACTCCCAAAATTATACATGGCACCCCCAATTTTGTTCCATTTTTATCCTTGGAAGAGTTGAACACAATTTCCGAACCAAAATTTTGATAGAAGGATTGAAATTTCCGGTATCACCCAAATTTCTGGTACATCCCTACGAAATTCCCGATACCATAAATTCCGGGTAGTGTATTTAAAATTTTCGGTGTACCGGTAATTTCAATTAATTTAAAATTTCCGGTAGTAATAAAAATATGGTTTTTTGAACGACTAAGATTTTTCTGACATATTTGGATGGTTCTGATTGCACCGACACATTTGTGTGGTCTAGAATGCATCACCATTTGTATAAATAAGAGCATTTGTTATAGAGAAAATACATGTCAAAAAAATGCCTCTTCCTCAATTTCTGATTAATGCAGAAGTGTATTACAATGGCAACAACCCTCATGTTGAATTCAAGCTTCCAGATGGCTCCAAATCCTTTGTCACCTTGAAAGAAACGTTGAATAATTTGCTGTCTGATTCTGATAACAGAAGGGTGACAAAGGTAGGGTTTTGGAAGGATTTGGTTGATATAAATGGAAGGATGAACTACAACCTAATCGAGTTGAAGAATGATGAAGATGTGAAGGCCATGTGGAAATCATTTCTCTGTAAGATAACTAAATGTCCGATTGAGTTGGATGCGCAAATCCGAAGATTCGTCGACGACATAATGAAGTGTCTGAAACGTCTAGAATCATCTGGAAGTGCCTAGGTTTTCTTGTTTAGTTGTTTTAGGGTTATGTTTGTTGTATTGTTTTATGTTTGTTGTATTGTGCTATGTTTTCACCAAAATATTATGCAATAAATAAGAAGTTTGTTTGTCATAAAATATACATATAATACAACCAAAATAAAATAGATCTACATAGGCCCTCAACGGGCTACGTCAGCTAACCTAGCTAAACCTCTATAGAACTCACTATCTGGGTTTACCAAACCCATGAGACAAGTACCGCCACTCCCCAAGCCCAATATGGAGTGTCAAGTGCGCTGAAGAGAGACAAGTATCAAACATCAATATAAACTCCAGACTTATTTGCAAAGAGAATACATGGCACCAGATGTAGCATGTACGCTCTAGCGGCGGCCTCATACCTTTGTGCCTCCATAAGCTCTTTATACATCCTCCTCAGTTAAGAAAGGTGAAATCCTTGAGTCTCTCCAAACTCATATAGCACCTCCAACTCAGAAACCTCAAAATCCTCCATAACCATGCACACCGCCGTCGCATGGTTCCTATAAACTGGTGTAAAAAATGTACCAGCAATTGAAATGTAAAAGAGGTCGTCCACATCATTTAAAGTCATTCTCATCTCCCCAAATGGAAGATAGAAGAATGATGTCGTCTCCGAGTGCCACCTGTCAACAAAAGCTAATAAAAGGGAGGCGTCTAACATGATCAAGGAGCAATCAGCAAACTCCAGGAGATAAAACTCGCTAACGATCCTCTTCACCTCCTCAGGCATGTGACTCCCAGGGATGTTCTTCAACTTCGAACCATGAGAAGCGACCTTCAACACCGGACGCTCATGTAAGAAGCAAAAACAAATTATTATACATCAAATCTTGTAAGCAAAAATAATTTTTTTGCAATTAAACAAAACCTGAAATATATACCTCGCCGTGCCTATCCTATAAACGACATGGTCTGCAAATCCTGTCAGCATAGACTTGTCTGAAGGTCCTTCAAAGAAACTTCCACCAATGTGTACTGATGGCTCTGTAGACGCATGAATCGTGGTGTTTGTATCAGTGGGGGACACCTCATCAACTTGCTTAACAACAACCTTCTGCTCAAGCTCCTGCACCATAGGCTCCACAATATGCTCCTCAGCTACCGGCTCCACAATAGAGCAGGAGTCTATACCTCCTCAATAGGAGTCTGTACCTATGTAGTAGGAGCATATATCTCCTCAGCAGTTGATACTCTAAGATCCCAACGACAGGATGTGCAAAACTGCACTTTTTACTCAACCATTTATTTCTGGTAAAAACCAATGAGAAGATGGCGTTCAGCCTGTAACTCTGAAACTTGTGCCTTCTCAGCACGGGCTTCAGCATCGGCTCTATCAGCGGTCCATCAGCATCATAATTTTCTTAGCTCTGCCCGTGCATTTTTTTCGTCATATCCGGAGGCACTTTAGTTTCGTTCTTGAGATCTCGCAAAGGGTTGGCATTTAGGCAGTATCTTCATCCATCTTTCCTCCCGGGTAGCTCTTCACTGCACTCTTCAGACTTCCTTTTGAAAATTGAAAATATGAATCCCTTCTTCGATCATATGAATGCTAAAGTAGACACCCTCTCCCAAAAAAATTTAAAAATATGAGCATCACTCCACCAGTTCAATTTTTCTCAATTAGTAATAAAACATCCAAATATAGTGTAAGGTGTATTGAGCAATCCCTAGTTTGTAATCCTTAAAAAGGGGGAAAAAGTGAATATACAGAGCCCGCTCATGATGGAAGAAACGCACGCATGCGGTGTTGAGCGGTGGAGCTTGGCGGTTGTTTCCTCCCGGCGGGCTTTTGGCTCCCTATAGGTTGTGGTTGCCATAAACGGATTTTCACACTAAAATAAAGCATTATAATTCCTATGATTACAGGTACAATCAACATTAATTCACGTTAATAAGACTTTTCACGTTTGATTTTGACACCGACAACCTTATATCAATTCAAACACAAGTTCACTGTTTTTGAATCAATAATTGTCACCTACCTGTTTGCTATAATTCCTGGCTGAAATATAATACATCTATAGTTAATGCAGAATAGTGTAAATCTTGACGTGTATCTGCATTTCTGAGTCTTCTCCTCAGTCTTTCCTATGTCACTTTCCCTCTTTAAATATATGTCTGCCAATCATCAACGTGGATTTCCCTCCTATGTCACTTTCCTGAGAGAGTTTATGAAAACAACTATAACATGTTTATAAGAAAACACTTTATTTTATCTTTTATTATAGAAATAACTTATGCACGGGCGCTTATGCTATAATTGCTTAATTAAGTTGCTTATCCAAACATCGCCCAAATTGGTGATTACACCGACAAATGTGTTTACATGCAATGGGGACTTGCTTTTGCCTCTTAAATTCCAAATACACACTATATATTGAGACTCTCTACCTCTAAATTGCTGATATATCTGAATTTCTCTTTTCCCTCTTAATATTAAGATGAGCACTTACTCTCAATTTTTCTTGCTTTCATTCATTGCCATTTGGTTGATTTCTCTAACTACATTTGGAGCTAATACTATTCACCCTGACGAAAGTATGATACACATTTATACCAAGCACCCAAATAATAAAGACATCTTTTTGAACCTTCCTTTCTAATATTTTTATCTAAGAATTCATGTTAGTTTAAATATCATGTATATTTTCTCATAATTCTTATAGAAATTTTGTAGTTAATATTTGATGACATGTGTGCGTAGTTTAAAAGATTTTTCAGTACTTAGCTGATAGGTATCAATTTGTATATTTAGAGGAAGCTCTTGAAGATATAGCTAAATCACTTGGTAAGAAGGATTGGAACTTTGACATAGATCCATGCAGCAACAAACCTAACTGGGTTACACCTCCCATACCCAAAATCATAGATAACAATGTAACCTGTAACTGCACTGTAGCTGGTGACAACTTCTGCCATGTAGTTATAATGTAAGTCTCTCTTCCTTGGAACTGACCCTTGCTATCACTACTTACAAATCTAGTTAAGTTGATTTGAATATTATTTTCATTTCTGGTAGTAATCAAGTATCAACATTGATAGAGAGGCAGGAATTGATATTGTATAATGTATCTCCACACGAGTTAGATTGGTTAATACCATGTAACAAATTGAATTGGTATGCTTATACCCTACCATTAACTTAATGTTTCTTATTATTATAGATCTGTGCAATTGCTATACCTTATAATCAAACTAAGATTTTAAAGTAACATCAATATTGTCAAAGATATGGATTTTTATTAGTTATGTTTCACAAATAGTAAAATCAGCTTTAAAACTCTATAGTAGAAGAACTTGTTGCAATTTTTTCCTTTAAATCGACAAACTAAGAAATATATTGGATTCATTTCTTTTAATAATTTTTTTTATGGAAAAATGAACATACAGATGTTTGAAAGGGCAAAATCTCCCCGGCACTCTTCCACCGGAACTGAACAGGCTGCGTTACCTTCAAACTATGTATGTGATTCTCACACTTTTCCTCTGTATATTATTTTGCATTACAAACTCTCTATTTCCCTCTATTACAGTGACCTCTCTCGCAATTACTTAAATGGTACAATTCCTAAAGAATGGGGCTCCATGATGAACCTTCTTGATATGTGATTTGTCTCATTTTTCTTTCTGGTTTTCAAATGATAGATTGTTCTGGATATTTTATGACCTTGACATATCTTATTTTACATTTTTCTTAAGACTTTGCATTCGTTTTTTTATAGACTTGTAGTAATTACAGGTTTCTTAATCATCGCAGTAAGCTATCTGGAAATCGTTTAACTGGTTCAATACCAGTGGAGACTGCAAACATATCTACTCTTAGATGCATGTGAGTTTTACATAATCCAACTTGGGAATTTTGTTCTCTCGTAAGTACATAAACATGTGTGTTCGATTCCAAAGAGTTATAGTAGAACTTAACTTTAAGTTAAAATGGATAGAGAGTTAACGGGTAATCAAATGTCGGGAAATCTTCCTCCTGAGCTTGGGAGTCTAACCCAGCTTCAAACATTGTAAGCACTTTATTTCCCCCCTCCCCGTTAATTGATCTTCTCCCTCCAAATATGAAAGACCAATGTTTAAAGTCCACTTTGATTTCCATGGCTTAGAATCATTATTTACTGTTTTGTTTTTCAATTATATATAGGCGAATATCCTCTAATAATTTTAGTGGAGAACTACCTGTGACATTGGCCAATCTCACTACATTGAAAGATTTGTAAGCTTCAAAGTTTTTTATGGCGATGTTTTCTCGTAACTAAATTAAAAAACAGTTTTTATGATGCTTCAAATTTTAATGTTCTCTCTCAATGCAGCCGAATTGAGGACAACCAATTCTCTGGAAAGATACCTAATTATATTCAGAACTGGACAAGTATCAATACACTGTATGCATCTCATTTTTATTTTAAGTTTTCCTAAAACTAGTTCTTTCTGTATTGTTTGACTTTTTAAAAGTATTATCAGTGGTTATTGTACTCTTGACAGACTAATTCAAGGAAGTGGGTTAAGTGGGCCGATCCCTTCTGGAATTTCACTTTTGACAAAATTAGTTGACTTGTACGTATGTATTTTATACGGGTACAGTAAGGGTTGAAATTTAACTTTCATTTTAATTATGTTTACTTAGCGTTGATTCAAATGTGATATTCAGGAGAATTAGTGATTTGAATGGATCTGAATTCCACAACTTAATAATATGACATCGTTAAGAAAACTGTGAGTTGATTCCTCTATCTCTTAGAAAAATAGAAAAGAAAAAAAAAACGGCAAGAAAGGCAGTCATAATATATCGTTGTCTATCTTATCGTTTCACAGGGTTCTAAGGAATTGCAACATCAACGGAACACTACCTGAAATTCTCGGGAATAAGACATCATTAAGAATCTTGTAATTGCATACTTTATTCATTTTGTTTGACTATAGCTATTCATTAAAGTATCTTTTGTTAAGTTTAGGACATTCTATAACCTTCTCCATTTTTGTGTTTTGTAATTAGTACTGCGATAGATATAACATTTATATAATTCTCTAGCCAATTATGTTATTTGAATGTTTTTCTATGACAAATTTTCTCTAGCTTTTTAACTCGTTCTCACTCGATTTCAGAGACCTCAGCTTTAACAACTTAAGTGGAACAATTCCCAGGACCTATGCTGATCTAAACTTCACACACATGTATGAAATTCTTCATAAATTCTCATCACACTTTTTTGGCATATATTTTTAATCACATATCAGTTGAATTATTTACACCTACAACTCTAGTTTCAACTTTTCAGTCTGAAATATAATAGCTGAATAATCCTTCTTAGATTCATGAGGATGATACTCAACCTAAATACATGAATAAATGTCAACTAAATGGAGCTCAAGTAGTCTGGATCCATTAACCATTGCTTTTATAGGTTTTCAAATATATATATTAACCATCCAAATTTTGTTCTTAATTACATGATTTTCAGGTTTTCAAACATACTAGATATTCGTTAACTACAATTTTGGGTTCAAATATATATACACTTGAAAATCATGGTTAATAATGTTCAAACTTATGTTCAATTGTGTTGAATGAGTGGTTAATGAGTTGTGATCGCGACACCTAATTGTGGCAAATTAGTGTCAAAATTTTCTGTTTTTTTTTTCAACAGGCACATTTGTTGAAAGAGAGGGGTGACTTAACGGAGCTAGTTGATAGAAGATTAGGATCAGATTTCAATAAAAAGGTAGCTATGGTGGTAATCAATGTGGCTCTCCTATGCACCAATATCACTTCAAATCTTAGGCCCGCCATGTCGTCTATTGTAAGTATGCTTGAAGGAAGGAACGCTGTTTCAGAATTTGTTTCAGATTCAAGTGAAGTAATGGATGAAAAGAATATGGAAGTAATGAGGCAGTATTACTATCAGTTGGAAGAAAATAAGATGAGCAAGTCACCATCACAAAGTCAGAGTTTACTGAATGATGGGTCATGGACTGCTACTTCTTCATCAGGTGTAGACCTTTATTCTGTCCACTCTGATTCTTCCTATTGGGAGAAAAAAAATTAAGACTCTTGGTAGATATAAATAATTGCATTTGCTAGCTTGATCTTCTACCACTATGTCTTGTGATGAAACCGTGTTCGATATTTTCAAAACTCAGTACTACTTCCGCCCATATTTATAAGCTGTTTGAATTTTTTTACATATATTAAAAGTGGTAATATAATTCATTAATATTTATATTTTGAGTAAACTTATTTCTAAATTTCTATTTATCTATAAAAAATGATTCCTAAGGAATTCAAGAAATCAAAGAAAAATCTACAAAGAAGAGAAAAATAGTATTGGTTAGTGTGATTGCAAATAAGAAAATAAAATTGCAAAAAGAAGAAGAAAAAATAGTCCAAGTTAATGAAACTTCGTTAGATGAATTTCATTTCAAGAAACCAACACCTACTTTTATTGATTATAATGAGGTGAAGAAGACTTTGTCTGATTGAAAACAATAGAAGATACAACGTGAAAGAGAAACAACTCGACTCAAACTTGAGCAAATTAAACACACGGCTGATTTTTATGGCAACATAGATGTGATGAATGATTTTTACGAACTCATTACATCTCCGAGTATTAAGAACTAGGATAAATTATGTACACCATATTGAGACATTCTTGTACCTTTATTAAATTATAGTGGATTTATTCCTTTAGTCAAGACGATCCGTGATTTTTACCCTTAATTAGTTTAAGGGGTTGTCTACGTTAAAATTGTCATCTTCTATGCATTTTATTATCCTAAATTTGATGTTGTATATTTTTTATTTTCTTTTTTATTTGTATTGCATGCTACTTAGGTATTGTATTATGGCATGTATATATCTCATTATATATGTGATAATTTTATTAAAAATAAATGGTTTATAATAATAAACACATGCAAAATTAACTTTCTTCAATTTTGTTGTTCTATTTGTTGACATAATGTTAGTTGGAATCTTAATATTAAGCAACACTTCCAAAAATACAACTATTATGTTAAAAATTAATAATCAACAATAAATACGGTAAAATGATTACTATTGCATATATTATAGTTTTATATAGAAAGTGCATGATAGTTCAAAACTTTAATCTGCATGTTTTTTTACTCTAAGAAAATAGATAAATTACTTACCGTTACTATTATTAGAAAAACCATTTTTTGATGATTAAACAATAATTTAGATATATTTTTTTATGTTTCATATAAAGTATAAGCTAAATTTAGTAAAACGTCTTTTTTTGAGATTTATTCAAAAAATCCATGTACGTATCAATGTTACAAATATTTAAATTTTATATATATATATATATATATATATATATATATATATATATATATATATATATATATATATATATATATATATATATATATATATATATATATATATATATATCAAAATTTGTTTTGTATGTAAACCTATATCCATCCACTTCCCACTAATTGTTTACGATATCAATTTAAAGGTAGTAATTTGAAAGAAACAACTCTCTCCATTATTTACAGAACTCAACTGGTTAAACTCATAATTCATTGCATGAGTATACTCTTTTCACATATATACTTGACTTATAAATGTCCTAAACTAGTTTGATTATTGAATTTTCATTTAGGTTGAGACATTCTCACTAGAAAGATATCCACTGTGAAATGATAAATAATGTGCACGTCTTTAGAGGAATGATGGTTAGGTTATAGATCGGTAAAACAATTAAATTAGCCCCTCACTCTATACCTTAGTTCAAAATTGATGGCTAGTAGAGAAAAGTGGACCATATCATGTAAAAGCTAGTCAAAAGGTTTGGAGTGATATGCTATGTTGGCTAGACATTAACGTTAACATGAGTAATGAAGGAATTCCCCATTTCATCCAATTTATTCATGCTCTTCAAGGAAAGATAAAGAAGAAGAAGTTGAGTTTAATTTGGATCGTAACATTATGGTTTATGTGGAATCAAAGAAATCGTATGGTGTTTAATGATGAAAGATTTGGTCCTCAAAATTAAAATATTGGCATGGTTTTTGCACAACATAGGTAACAAAGGCATCAAATTCACATCAATGTAAAATTGGTTGCATTCTCCATTTGATTTCTTATAATTTTGTTGTAATATTTGTTTCTAATGGGCTTGCATACCCCTTGTACTCATATCAATATTAATTTTGTTTATCAAAAAAAATTATACCTCAACAAATACTCAACAAAAGTATTTTAAGCTGAGGTAATTTGGAACAACTAAATTCTTCCATCTGACTCGTTCATGCTATGTAGATTCTTACACGAGAAAATGTCAAAGGATAACACAACACATAATCTTCTTAAAATTTACTTTTCAATTGAATGTTCACAATTAAATTTTTGAAAAAAAAATCTAAAATTCTGACATGGTTACAATATTAGCATCAACGTAAGACATTGTCCAAATTTGTAAAATAGGTTGGAGTACCAAGATCAAGGATATATTTGTCGTATCTCTCACTCATACAATACGTATGATCTTGATTTTATGAAAGTAAAAAAGGTTCAAAGATTTCATAACTTCATAATATGTATGTTTCATAAAAATGAAAACGGTCATTAAGCTAAGCTCGCGGGTTCCAAAATGTTGGACTTCATGTAACCAAAACAAATGTTGTTACAACAACCTCAAATTAACCCTAAGTACCAAAATGCTCCAAAAATAACTATAGTCATTTGAAAATCCTCTTTTTTGGTTGAACAAAGCTGAACACATATGAATCAATAAAAGAAAATTTATTAACAATAGGAGGAATCGTGTTAGACCAAATTAGAGGTTATCTAGGTAGTTTTCTTGCAATATGAAAATAGAATAAGATTAGAATCTTGTCCTTTCTAATCTCGATGGATAAGGCACTTGAAAGAGGATGAAATAAACTATTGACGGATAGTGACACAATAGGTCTATCTTTGGCATGTCAAAATGAAGATAACATTCATTGGGAGCTCAGGAACCATTGGATACATATCAAGAACTTAAAATAATTTTTCACGTATTTAAAGAGGGGAACATTTTGATAGACGAATTTGTCAATCAAATAATCACTTAATGAATTTTGCTTGATGGAGTTCTTTACATCTTTTTAATATAGAAATTTTTGTAGAGACTGATTTGACATGCATAACTATAAATTCACATAAGACTTTCATTCACTTTCATTTTATTTTGACCCAGTCACCCTCAATTTTGTTTTTAATCATAATTTAATTTATATATCACGAATTGATTTATCAAATAATCCATTAGTAAAGTTTTAGATTTTTTACTAGTTATTTTAGTTTAAGAACTTAATTTATTAATTAACTATTTATTAATGTCCTAAAATTAGTAAACAAACATTTACCTATGTAATTACAATTACTTATATAACGTATTTTTTGTTGTTATAAAAATTAATATGGTATGCCTTAACTCTTAGTCAATTGTATTACATTTCATTAATTTTTAAGACATTAAAAATAGTGTATTGACAGTGTAAAATAGATTTACACTATCAATCAATGGAAATTCATCAATCATCCATGTCACACAACTAACCTAAAAATATCAAAGTGACTTGGAAGAATATATGGTAATGATTGGTTGATAGTGTAAAGTTATTTTATATTGACGGTAA